CCAAACCACTATATCTTATCTGAAGTGCATTTTCTAACTTTGTAAATTTGTCACTCCACCTGAAATGTTTACATTTGATTTCCCTTGTTTGTTGATTTCCCTTCCCTGGACTATTAATTAGTTTGTGACCAGGTGCCACCTCCAATGTAGATTCCACTGCAGTCACCATGCAACTCCACTAAATGCCGTTGGTCAGGCAGGCGGTTTTCAAATGTCAGTTTGCATCAGAATCACCTGCAGGCTTGATGATGCCAGTTGCCAGTTTCTAATTCAGTAATTTCATCTGTGGCCCCAAATACTGGGTTTCTAACAAGTTTCCAGGTTGATGCTGCTGCTTCTGGGGAACACTCTTTGGGAATCACTGCTCCACACAAATGGGCCTTCTAGAAACTTCACCAACATAGCAGGTCCCTGAACTTTGGAAGGGTTTACTTACTATCTATCCTCAAGCAGGGCGATTTTCAGCCTGTGTGCCATGACACGCTGGTGTGCTCATCTTAGGTGAGTTGTGACAATTTTAAAAGATAATTGATTAAATCATTTTTGAAAGAAGCTCTAAGCACAGTAAGTATATTCTTTCTTTCTTGATCAACATCATTTAACTGTGCTGCGTCAGTTAACTACAGTTCAAGTGTGCCATGAGATAACACAGGTTGAAAAACACTGCTCTAGCACAGTGTACCTTGTTAAGTAATTTAAATAATGTAATAAACTAGTATGACAAGTGGAGTCAAAATATTAAACAGTTAACATGTAGCTTTGCACTTATGCTGCTGTGATGAAATGACCTGGCTAGCTAGGAACTCCTGGGTCTGTCTAGCTGTACCCGCCCCGCCTCCCAAAAGCACTGCTGTATTAGGGGCTGTTTGGGCCTGGCACCACCTGTTGGTGATTTGCTCTATTACTTTATTATTCTGTAGATTCACGGATAATTCTGGGTCATGTGATTGGTAAGAAAGCTGGAAAATGTAGTAAAACTGTGTCAAGGAAAAAGAGAAAATTACGGTCATCTCTACATCCTGTATTTTGACATCAGGCAAATAATCTACCCTTATCCTTCACAGGTTACAAACACTTCTATTTAGGTAATATTTTTGAATCTATACTTTAAGACAGAATGCAAGGCAAATAACTTAAAGTAGAAAACCCCAAACTACCTCACACCACTTGATTTAGCTAGAGCAAATGAAAAATTTCACTGGTGAAATGTTGGCATCAAGTTGTGCTACAACTCAGGAATCTTTTCAGAAAACTCCAGTCATACTTTTCTAAGTGAATAATTGGGTTCTGTTGAATTCTTTCTGCTGTTTAGGGGATTCATCAAAAGAGCAAAAGCAAGAACAACAAAACAGGTACCAGAGATTCAGGAAGTGTGAAGCCTAAAGAAAGGTCCACAGTCACCTCCAGGGGAGGTGCTTAAGATTTTCTGAAATTGGTTTTGCCAACCTTAGCTGATCCACCATCTTCAAGGTATAAAAGAGAACTTGAGGACTAACAGAGGGCAGAAAAGAGAGCTGGCAGCATAGAGAGTTGTGAGAAGGTCCCTGGTGTGCTGTGGTGCTGGCCTTCTCCCTGCCCCTGGGGAAAACAAGAAGAGCTGTGGTCTCATGGTTCCATCTGCTTCCCTGTGACCACTTGGAGAGACATGTGCCTCCTTAATACTGAGGGACCCAAGGACCACATATCTGACCCAAGCCTGAATAACAGAAACAGAAAAGGCAGAGGCCCCTGCTGCCCTTGTGAGGGCCAGCAAAAGGGAGGTCGCATCAACAGTTTATATGTCCTGTGTGCCCTGTGGGGAAAGCTAATATAGAATCATCTCAAAAACGGAGCTCCAGAATTGTCATTGCTAACAAGTGTCCAGGCAATGCCCACCCTGCTGCTGCTCCTCGGGGACCCTGCTTTGAGAATCCTAAGAAGGTCATCTCTCTCACCACCCCCCTCACAGTGTAACTCTGGTGATAATATACTCCTGGTAATGTGAGCATTCGCCACACATCACTTTTTAGAGCTGGGCACAAGGGGAAGAAAAGCTGTCAAGTTTTGTCAGGGTATCACTTTGCTTTCACTACCTCTCTTGTGAACTGCTACTGAATTTCAACATCACCATTATATTAAGCCAAGGCATTTTCCTGAAAGCTTTGTTAAAATAAGATTTCTGTTCTTACCTTCTCGATCTATTCCTCACTGTGAAGGCTTGAAAAGTTCACTGAAACCTTGTCCACAAACCTGAACATCCACTATACTGTGACAGGTATTTTACAGAACACATGGATTTCTGCCAGTGCCAGGTAGTGAATGTTGCGTGCAATACTGGGATTTTCCGGAAGAGGGCGCTGTGCTATGTTTACTGCTGTCTGCTGTCTAGTGAGTTTTTGAGTGGTTCTGTTAAGGATTTTATGAAGTGGGAAAGGTTGATGATCTCCTTACACTTCACTTCTCCTTTAAACGTTACTGAGATTTAGAAATGACGATCTCGGAGCCTCTATTGTCTGAACTGGAAGGAGTCATTGCAAATGATTTGGCCTGTCCTTGTCAGCTCTGCTGATATTTTTGAGGACCATTTGTTTTGAATGGTGTGTTCTAGCCATTTCATCAAATTGCTCCGTAGATATAAGAAATCCCAATTTCAAGGTGTTTCAAGTCAGTTTTACAATTGAAGGTTGATTTTCTATGACTATTTTGTTATTGAAGTTATTCTCGTCCACTTGGAAGACTTAGGAAATTTAAACACACGAAGCTACTTTTCTGCACCAACTTATGCTTTTTATGTGACTATATTAAATACTGAGATTACTCATGGAATATTTATTAAATCACAAAATTCTATTTCCAATGATTATATTCTTTGATTATACAAGTTATTCTTATTAACATTACAATAATTTAATCATGACCACGATTTTAAAAGTGTCTCTCACAGAAATTTTGATAAAAGTCAAAGAAACACTAAAATATTCTCAATTCAAGATTGATTAGTTTAAAATAGAATCTAAATTGAGGCATCTGTTTATTCCTTGGTCACATTGAGATTTCTCTATTATTTTACTTGGAATAATATCTACGCTTGATCTTGGCCAAAAGGCCGAGAAGAAATTGCAATGATGTATAGATATAGTTTGATGTAAAGCAAAGTGCAAGATGAAGTATGTAATATTTAATTAACTCTTACAGACCCCTGTGAGGAAAATTATATGATGACTGGCCAGTAAGAAGAGAAGAAATGAGGTTTATAAAGAAAACATCATTTTTCTCTGAGATGTTTTCAAAGCATCAAAATGGCACTTTAAGTATTTGCTTTCTGACAGCTGAAGTTATTGGATCTTAATCTTTAAAGTGGGAGGGAAGTTAGGGAAGATCTATTCGATTCTTTTATCAGGAATTGCATTTGACAACAAGTAGCAGAGACCAGGGAAATAATGGCTTAATCACAGAGGTCTTCTTTTTCCTCACATAAACATGCGTAAGAGATGCCCAAAGGCGAGCTGTCCCTGACTGGGCTGAGGTCGGCCCAATTCTCAAGACTTTGCTTCGAGGTTGCATAATGGCTGCTGACACTCTTCCTGTTACATATAAATTCCAGGAAGCAAAGAAGAGAAAATGAAGGAAAAGACAAAGGGACAACCCTTGTATCGGGGAGGTAAAAGCTTAATATCCACTCCTATCTCATTGGTGGGAGATAGTCAAAGTCCACTTATGCCAAGCCAGGTTGGAGAGGCAGCTTTAAGCTGGGCACAGTGGCAACCCTGATAGAAGAGTCTGTTAATAAAGAAAGGAGAGAATGGTCATTCTCTTCTTCCACCTGTCACAGGCTCTTCTACTCTCTCTTCTTCATGAAGATGCGGGCAACTAGGGCCCAGAGAGACTAAGCAATTTCACTCACATCTCAAAGCTGGTGGCAGAACCAGACCTTTATGTCAAATAACATACACCCTCTTGCTTTTGATGGAGTTGTGTGTTGGACTCTGCGTACATGTTGGTAGAGTGGCGTCTTCTGAAGTTCTAAAGATTTTACATTAGCAAGGACATAATATAAAGAACCATGGATTAAGAACTTGGGGTATCAGTTCACCTCTAATAAAATCAGAATGATTTGTCTTATGGAAATAATGCAAAGAAAAATAAAAACACAATTCCTAACATAGAAATGAAGTGATACTGCAACTATAAAAACATTAAGATTTATTTTGGGAGACTATTTCTTCAAAGTGAATATAGGAACAATTTTCTCATACAAAGTTAACTTACTTCTGTAAAACCTCCCTTGCCCAGACTGAGGGGACCCTCAACTTTCTAAAGAGCATGATTAAGGGCAACAGCCATCATGGCAGTTGCACCCCTCTTGGCATCCACAAATCAAGGCTGCTCTAACAGGGGCTTTGGTAGATCATCTCCCATTGCTCCAACAATAGAAGGAGAAGATGTAGGAACAGGAAATGTTGACTTTCTCTCACAGATACCATTTAGCCATTCAAATACTTGCTAAATGTATACACTCAAGAATGCAAAACTACATCCAGTTATTATTCATAGCTGCAATAATCCAAGAAGACAATGTTACCTCCTACTACCTCTAACCTGTACTACAAAGACATGATGGACTTTAAAGCATAAAATAGTCTTTATTTTGACAACTACAAAGGCAGGAGTCCAAAAATAAGTGTTCTAAAAATTATTAGATATTAAAAGTATCTAATATTAGATATTAAAAGTATCTCTTGGGCAGCGCCTGTGGCTCAGTGAGTAGGGCACCAGCCCCAGATACCAAGGATGGCAGGTTCAAACCCAGCCACAGCCAAACTGCAACAAAAAATAGCCGGGTGTCATGATGGGCGCCTGTAGTCCCAGTTACTGGGGAAGCTGAGGCAAGAGAATTGCCTAAGCCCAGGAGTTGGAGGTTGCTGTGAGCTGTGATGTCACAGCACTCTACCAGTAAAGTAAGAGTCTGTCTCTTAAAAAAAAAAGAAATTCAGTTTTGTGTGATTCATTTCTGATTGCAGTGGGAAAAACTACAGATGACCACGAGTGAAAGGAGGAAGATATGCTGCTCGGTCACGTTCCACGTCATCGCCATCACCTGTGTGGTGTGGTCCTTGTACGTGTTGATAGATCGGACAGCAGAGGAAATCAAGCAAGGCAATGACAACGGTAAGACCACGTCTTTCTTCTTTTTCCCTCTTTGGGATTCCTTTTTTTTTTTAACCATGGTGAGATATGACCTTACCCCAGTTAGAATGGCATTTATCAAAAAGTTCAAAATCAATAGATGCTGGTATGGATATGGAGAGAAAGGAATGCCTATACCCTGTTGGTGAGACTAGAACAATCCTTAGGAAAAACAGTATGGTGATTCCTCAAAGAACTACAAATTCATTCAACCCAGCCATCCCACTATTAGGTACCTGCCCAAAGAAAAAGGACTTTTCCTCATAAAGATACCAGCACTCAAATGTTTACTGAAGTATAATTCTTAGATTCTAATGATGATACCCAGAAGTGGATAAGGAAGCTATGTTCCCCATTTTAGGTCTTCAAGTAACACACTAGCAAAAACGAGTACTTGTTATTGGACACTATAAAGAACTATGTGGGGAACTGAGCTGCGCGATGTGAGATTTACCAACTCCACAGAAAATTTAACAGAGAGTAGCATACAGGTGGCACACACCACTGCAGGCTTTTCAGGAGTGGAGTAAGGATGAGCTGCAGCCAGAGGTGATAAGTCAAACAGCTAAAAAATGCAAGTGCTTTTCATTGTATGTAATGCGCCCCAGTCATTTCTTCCTTTAAGGCAGTGGTTCTCAGCCTTCCTAATGCCCCAGCCCTTTAATACAGTTCCCACAGGTTGAGAACTGCTGCTTTAAGGCACAAATAATGCTATCACATTGGGGATTAAGTTAAAAAATTAACATAGATAAAGCACAGACAAGATGACATTGCCTTGGAGAATGTGTGATAGCTTCTTAGTACTATGTAGTTTGACAGAGTGGGCTGGCACTCTGGTTTGAAATTTTAGTCATGCAAGGTTTGACTGTGAAGGATGGTGTCAAGTCTACAAAGAAAGATGTTTCAAAATTGGTGAAGCATATTCTGACATTTAAAGTGGATAGGTCATTTAAAACAGAAGCAAAAACAGGAAGCAGGACAGCTATAAAATATTATTTTCACATCTGAAGGTTCCCAGTTGTTTGTTGTCAGGCTCTCCAGGCTATAGCACGCTGTAAAACATTAAGAAACATCCCAACACCCCCCAGGAAATAACATTAAACCACTGACAGTTTTGAAAAGAAAAACTTCAGATAGTAACATTTTTTAAGTTTTTTGTTTGTTTGTTTGTTTGTTTTGTTGTTTGAGACATCATAGCTCACAACAACCTCCAACTCCTAGGCTCAAGCACTCCTCTTGCCTCAGCTTTTCCATTTTTAGTAGAGATGGAAGGGCTCTCGCCTTTTGCTCAGGCTCGTCTCTAACTCCTGATCGCAAGCAATCCACATGTCTCGGACTCCCAGAGTGCTGGGATTACAGGCATGAGCCTCTGCAGCTGGTTAAGATTTGGAATGTTTGGAAAATGTTTGAACATCTCCCCACATCTCACCCCCCACCCCCAAAATGAAAATTAAACAGAGGAAAAGATAGGAGGACGTGAGATAAGAAGGAGGAAAAGAATTGAAACACAGAAAGATTTGTTCTTTCTGTCTTTCTTTGTGTGGATTCATAAATGCAGGAGAGGGTGTTGCCTTCTCACACTTGGCCACCAGGTGTCAGCAATGCACATAGCACAGTGAGCGCTGGCTCTGGGCCTCCTAGTGGCAGAACGGGGCTGGATGAGCCGGAAGGACTCCTTTGGTGAGGGGCTAAGAGTGCTGAGTCTGAATTTACCTTTTAACGCAGTTGAAAAAAAACTGCATAACATAAAAGCCAACAATTTCAAATCCATCTTGAATATTTTCAAAATCTATTTGAAGAAGAAATTGTCCCTTTTCAATCAGAATTGGGATTGAATATAAAATACCAAAATCTTTTAAACTGTTATGACAATACTAGAGGTTAAAAAAAATTCTTCATATATTTTTAAATGATTGCTCTTTTATATTAAATATGCATGATGCCCCAGATAGCTCTTTCTCCTCACTCTCTTTTTTTTCTTGTGATAACAAAAAAGTAAAATAAAAATTAGGAAAAAAAGACACAAATGTAAGTTTCTTGAAGCTTTTACATTCTAAATTCCTCTTGTTGTCAACTCTAATTTGGGCAACAATTCTTCCCCCTGCCTTTCTGTAGCCTAAAAGAATGCTCCAGTACACTATTTATGTGTTAAAAACAAAATACAAAAATATAGCACAAAGAAACAATAACAATTTTTACTATTAAGGACACTGTAGGTATGGATTTCAGAGCTGCCCCAGAAGTGTTTGAATGTATACACAGCAAAGGTCCCCAGGGATAGCATAAAAGTTGAATTTGGGTTTTTTTTTAACTAACTCATGTGTGATCCTCTAAACTCCTCCAGGGCAGGGGTCTTGCCTCATTATTCTGAAAGCACTTGGTTATTAGTAGAGGCTGAAAAATTCTGCCTGCTGTGGCTGACTCCAGCAGGTAAGAACAAACCCAAGTATGATAACTAAGCCCTGGCTTGAGCCGTCAGAGGCCAGGGTTCTACTCCTGCCTTGGCAGCTGGCTAGTTACCTTGCATATAATGATTAATCACTCTGGAGCTCAGTTTCCTCATCTATAAAGCTTAGAAAATTGGACTGAGTAGTCTCTAAAAGTTCTTTCCAGGATTCATCTTTCAGACATCCCAAACTTGACTTACATCAAATACATTGAAATGTGTTTATACAAATACTGAACATATTTCGTATGTTTTTACTCACAGTGAATATTGCCACTACTAAAACAAGTTAGGAGAAAGGTTATAAATAAGCAAACAGTTCTGTTGCTGCTGTTGTTTAATTTGTCCAACGGGAAAGGAAGGAGGATAAAAGTAAAGAAGAAAGCCAGCCCCGCATACACACAGATAACCTTCTTTATACAGACTTGCTTTGTAACTGCATAACCTAAGCATCCATCCAAAAACATTCCAACTTACCAGGGAGATGCTCTTTCTAAATATACACAACCACTATAGCTGTTAAATGAGACAGGCTCTTTGCTGCTGTTTGATGATTTTAAAAGGCTTTCAGACACACTCCAGGGGTCTGCAATCTTATGACTTCCTACGTTAGAAAGGCAGGAGACTCTGAGAAATCAAATTTAAAAGCTAGAAGAGATCTTAGAGACCATCGTTTTAAAGATGAGCACATAAGTAATTTGCTCGACCCCCAGTTGTATTATAAACACCCACCTGGGCCCTCGGGCTTGCCCTGTTTAACTTGAGAAAACAGAGAAGTGAGATCTCCTAGGTGACCTACCCTGTGTGCTCCCAGAGGAGAGGAATGGGGACCCTCTCCTATTCTCAAGGGAAGTATATTTTCAAAGAAATAATATTTCTGGAAAGTAAGGGAGCCTAAAAAGGGCTACTGGACACACTCCATCTTACAAGCCGCTGTCACTGTGGTCTGAAAGCCTGGCATAAATATTTTCGAACAAATGCAATATATGTAGTTGCTGCTTGAGCATGTAAGGACCTTTTAGTTTATTTTTGGTGGGATTTCTAAGCTGTTCTTCTGGTGGATGGAATTACAACCGCAAGAGATACCTAGGGGCAGGTGATGAAGAAATGCAGTGCTAAGTGCCACATTGCTCAGCAGCCTGGCTGGCAGTTAACCAGACTTCTCCCCTCTCAAAGTCTGGAAGATTTTGTGACCTGGAGTCAAGGGGGGAGACCCAAAGGATGAAGATGGAAAGCTCTTCCTGGTAGACAGGTGCGAAAGCTCTGCTCTTAATCTAAAGCCGTATCAGCCAAAGGTGTCACATTTAAATCACACAGACGATAATAATAACAACTTTCGTTTATATAGCACTTCCTATACATCAGGCTAATTCCACCCTGACAACCCTGTGAGGCAGACACTGCTGTTCCCTCTCACTTTAAATGACGGCTTTTGCTGTAGAGCAAACCATTCCAAACTTAGTCACTTTAAACCACAACCATTTATTTCACTTATGAGTCTGTAAGTCAGCTGGGCATTTTTTCTGGCCTGGACCAGCTTCACTGATCTCTGCAAAGGTCACTTCTGCATCTGCAGACAGCTGGCCTGTCAGCTGACAGTTATGTAATAAAGGACAGGCTCCTTTATATGTTTGGCAGTAGGAACTGGCTGGGGAACAGGGGCCCCTCGGCGGGGGTTCTCGGCATTGTACTTTGTGCTGCTATCTTCTTTATGTGGCGATGGGAGTGTTTTTAAAAGTATCAAGATAGAGCAAAACCACTTTGTGTGAACATTTTTAAAAGTTTCAGATCGTGTCATGTTTGCTATTGTCCTGTTGGCCAAAGAGAGTCATGTGGTCGCGGCCAGAGCTGTTAGATCTGGGAGCCTGACCAACGGGGGCAGTGACTGTCACTAGCTACCGAGTTGCAGATAACAGCTCCGGTACTTCAAGGATATGAAATAGCCACGGCGTCAAGATAGATAAAGATAAAAAGAAAAAATTAGCTGATTCTTAGGAATAAGATGTTTAACACTCAGGAACAAGTGGGAATTTTGCACAGGAAAACTGCCATTGAGAATCCATTAACCATGTGAGGGAAACCTTGTGTGCAGGTTTGGGCTGCAAAGAAATTGAATAAAAGTCTGGATCATTTTGAGATTTGGATATTTCTTAGTCAGAAAGGAGGGGCCTTCTGGAAGTGAGGGTGAAGACACAGGAACTGACAGAGTCAGTCAGTGCTATCTGTAGACAGTGCTCCAGGCTCAGGTCCTGACGGGAAACGCCTGTGGGGAGCCCCAGCTCGGGTCCTTGGACTCAACTCCCACAGAGAATAGAGTGAGGAAGATATGGAGGATTTTTACATGACAAAAATTTTACTTTTTCATTCATGTTTACCTTTTCTTTCAAGTTCTTTATATAGAGAGAGGGTGCCAAAAAAATGTCTGCACATTTTAAGAAAGGAAAAAACTGGCTGGGTGCAGTGGCTCATGTCTGTAACCCTAGCACTCTGGGAGGCTGAAGCGGGTGGATTGCTGGATCTCATGAATTCGAGACCA